TATTCGGTGTTGTGTGAGGTTAAGTGCTGAGATATAATAAATAATCGTAATAGGTGTTCACAACCGTCGTGTTTTAACACAACTTTTGTTAGGAAAATATAACTTCACAACACCTTGTGAATTGCCCAAATGTTGTTTGCTCACATTTAGTATAAACATACATATGTATGTACATACATACATATAGCAGCAGTTTATTTCATTTAAAGAAATAGCGTGTCGTCCATTTCCGCTGTGATGTATATAAATAGTGCATATATTTAGGCGCAATATTTAACTTTTTCTGGCGGGGCGACATCTAGACTCTTCTAATTGTATCTCCTTGATATGATGCCTACAACGATGTTGATATCTAGACTAGGTTGATATCTAGAATTTTCCATAAATAGCTTTGCTACACTTATAGTAGGTGCATTCTTTGGCAACTGAGCTACAAAAGAACACTCGCTTAAATGACGAAATACACGCAAAGCAACAACACAAACTCGGCATTTATCCGAACTCAGCCAGGTCAGTTAAAAAATACGCGACCTGAAGGCTAGTGTTGGTAGGTGAAAAAACTGCGCTATTGTGAATTGTTAATGGGAAAGTGGAGAGGGAAATTTTTTCTTCCTTTTATACGCGACTTATATTTCAAAAGAGTATATATATTACGCAAATACCTCACATAATTACTCGTTTAAATTGATTTTTGTATCTAAATCCCGTTAAACTAATCGCATTTTCTTGCCAGCTACCAACAGGGTTGCTTAAGTAGCTAAAAGGAAATTTTACCCGAGCTGAGCGTTCTTTTGTCGCTCGCTTACAAAAAAATGCAGCTAGTATAAATGGTGGTTTGGACATACAACAATCAAAGCGGTCTGGACATACAACATTGCAAGTTGATAAAAGCGTTGTAAAATAATAATATATCTCAGTCCCATAGAATTTGTTTTGATAACTTTTGATTTTGAAATTTTAACAAAAGTCATTACACACATAACATAGACCTAAAATTTCTACAGCGAAAGTACAAATTTGAGATCGATTTTAAGCGGGCGTTATTAATATACCCACATACATACATATATTACTCTTCAATTTCAAATCAGGCGATGGCATTGTTGTTATATTTTTTCGTTTGTACATGCTTTTGTTCTTCACTTCTCAGATGCTTTTTCGAAATTAATAAAAACCAAAAACAAAAATTAAAAATTACATGTTGCCTTTGACGGCATTCGAACCGGAACATGCTGGGAGCTAACAACTAACAGCGAGCATCTCTACACGTTCAGCTACAGCCAGACATGCAAATGTACGCTCAAATGCTCAACTTAAATCACATTTTGTTAAAACACGGGCAGTGACCGGGTAACAATAAGCGGGTGCAGAGACACGAGTTGGTCCACTATAGCATGAGAGATGAACGCTTTTGTAAGTACTCCAATATACCACAAATAGACTACATGGTCCAACAATTTTTGCAGGGTACTGATGGACATATGTATGCACATTAAGGTGATGCCAAAACTGGAACTTTTTGGTAATTCGACTGAGAACGTTCGGATTCTTGAAGATTAGAGGGAAAACAAGTTCCTTCTAAAATTTCAGCTTATTTGAACAAGATTTAGAGGTCGCTCAACGCCGTTGTTGTTTTCCGGAAACTACAGATTATAGATGCATCTAAAATCTGTAGTTTCCGGAAAACAAACAACAGCGTTGAGCGACCTCTAAATCTTGTTCAAATAAGCTGAAATTTTAGAAGGGACTTGTTATTCCTCTTATCTTCAAGAATCCGAACGTTCTCAGTCGAATTTACAAAAAGTTCCAGTTTTGAATCACCCTAATTTACATATGTACTTATGGACAGCAATTTTTCATGTATTTACATATGTTTGAATGGTTGTACATATGTACCAGGGTTGTTGCGAATAACAACAACATAAACAAGTTTGGTATCAAATGAAAGAGGACTTAAATAGCTTTAAAAACTGAAATGTCTAAACGAGCAAATCCACCTATTGAAAAATATTTCAATAAAAAATGTTAGTTGATTACCATAGAACAAACCTTTAGCCAGGTATATGAATTTCTTTAGTATTAAATGATATAAAAAAATATAAATAGAGATGGTAACCTTCGTTCGTTATTTCTGTTTAAAAGCTCTGTTTAAAAGCTCTGTTGTTAAGCTGTTTGTTAATTTTTTTATTTCGGCATACAAAATATTAGGCCAAGTTTAACTGGTAAAAAATAACTGTTATTTTCGGTCCCTGGAATATTGTGCGAGTGCACGTATATCTGGCCAGTCACAGAAGAACGGATTAAAAATGAATTACAAAAACTAATATCGAAAAACGCTGTTGACGTTACAGGTTCTCCAAATTCAGAAACAACCAAAAGAATGAGAATGAAGAATTCTTTGGAAAACAACGGTGTTTAAACAACGACCTTGCCATGATACTAGATTGTGAAGATGAAAGTCAGGAGGATACATCCGACATTTGCAGCCCCGGTGCAATTCTCAAAAAGGAATTATTGCACCGCAAAAAAAAAACAATAAATATAACTGAAAGTCCTCTCGACTGG